AACCATTCAAAGGACATCTCAAATATGCTACCTTGCCTATCTGTGCCTGAATTTCCATGGCTAGGATTTAGCAACCATTTCCCAGCTCTTTCAGGGACTCTCCACCACAGCCATCATGGTAAGCGCAGTCCCAGAACAGGCAGTTTGGACACTGGCTGAAGCAAGGGAGGTTTAAACTATTATTCTGTTTCATTCCCCACCACCCGTATCTCCCTCTTGCTCCAGGCCTTGTCTTCCTTTAGCTGTTGCACTCTCCAGTTCAGATTTCCAAGGCGGCAATGGCTGTTGCTGCTGCCTCCTGGCTATTTTGGTGCTGCAATCTGATCCCTCGCCGGAGTCTATTTTAGCACCTTGGAGAAGTCCCCAGTGCATGGAATTCCACCTCTTTGCAGAAGAAGAGTGCTTCCCCCAAAGGCCAGAGGTTGCTCTTCCCTTTCTCTGGATGTTCCTCTATATGAACATATCCCTCAGTCTCATTTTCCCAAGCATCAGCTCACTTTGCCCTGTTTCCCTGCCCCCCCTCCCACAATACAGGGATTTTTGCACACAGTTTTGCCTGACACATGCATTTTTGCAAGCCATTCCCCCCCCCCCGATATAGCATCTTTTGCTGCCTTGGGTTCAGTGGGGAGGAAGGTTGGGATATAAATTCAACAAATAACATTGTTGTGTGTTGTTTTCACTAATACATATATATGTGTGTTTTAGCAAGCCATTTCCCCTAATATAACACATGTCATTTTCATCACACACACACACACACACACACATTTGTATAGTTTCCCCATAATATTTGCATTTTTGAATGCATACTTTTGGTTGGAGAGATGCACTGCAAAACTCAGAGAAATGTGAATTTTGAAAGATTAGTGCAATTTCAGTTCATGTATTGGGTGGGGAAGGATGAATTAGGTAGATACATATTTTTAAAAAAAATAAAATACAAGTGGAACTGATTTATCCATAAGTGTTAGCAGATCCTCTCGCCTTAAAGCTGAATGGCACGTTAGGTTACATACCCAGGGGTTTCCCAAGCCTTTTTTCATCTCAGAAACACTGTTGATATAATTGCAAAGAAAGGGTCAGAGGTCAGGAAGTGGGTGGCTGTGGTTAAAGTGTTGGGCTAAAAATGGGGTTCAAATGCCCCCCAGCCACAAAGCTCAGTGAGTGACCTTGGACCAGTCACCTTGATGATAACCTCTAAATACATAGGTGTGGGAACCATTTTTATGAAACTGTGCCAGCTAAGTATTTTAACGGATACATACATAAATATTTTATTTCATGAAATTTATATACCACTTGATTGTAAAGCAACAACTGTCTCAAAGCTCTTTAAGAAAAGGACAATGACATTATCTGTTAAGAACAGACAAAAACAACTATTTAAAGCATTTTTTTTTAAAAAAAGCAATAAACTAAAAACTAGATTAAAGCACATGTCAGCATTCTACCTAGCTGGATAGGTTTCTCTAAACAAATGTTTTTAGTAGGGGCCCGAAGAGAGTACAGTGAAGGGGTTTGCTTGGTGACAATAGGCAGGGAGTTCCAAAGCCACCACACTAAAAGATCTATTTCTTATAAATGCACAACAAATATTGTGTGACGTCTGTGATGGTGCCAGGTCTGACGACTGAAGTGGCTGAGTGGGCATATATTAAATTTAGGCATTATTTCCATGAGAAATCCCAAAGTGATATGCAATACGATGAAAGCATATATAACAGGTGCAAATATAAAAACTGCTGCATATCTAAAAAAATTTTTTTTTAGCAATTCTATATATTTAAAAACAGGTTAATAAGGAATATCACATACTGTATTTTTTGCACCATAACACTCACTTTTTTCCTCCTAGAAAGTAAGGGGAAATGTCTGTGCGTGTTATGGAGGGAATGCCTACGGGTGGCATGCCTACGGATTTTCCTCCTCTAAAAACTACGTGCGTGTTATGGTTGGGTGCGTGTTATAGAGCGAAAAATACGGTAGATGAAATTGATCGGAAATCTGATATGGATACCACCCGGGGACACGGATACATCTGCATTTGCCAAATGAATCTGCATTTTGCAAGACAGCGTGCCTCTTCACCCTTAGACACCAAACTCTGAGGAAGCACCCTTGGCTGCACATTCCTGGCACTAGAATCTCTTGCATAGCTGTTGCTATGGTGAGTCTGTCAATCAGAGAGCCACACAGACTGAGCAGACTAGCGAGGAAACTCGGGAGATCTTCTCTTGGTGGAGAGAGCCATTGTAACCTGGAGTGTGTGTAGCTTTAACACACTGCATTATTATTATTATTTATTTATTGTTAGTGTTTTAATCCCCTAATCCTCCAAGGAGCTCAAAATGGCATAGAACAGCCAAATCCCCTTTTTCTCACAACCCTGGGAGGGAGGTTAGGCTGAGAGCCAGTGACTGGACTGAGGTCATCCGTACTGAACATCATGACGGAGAATTTGAACCCAAGTCCCTCAACGCAAAGGCTACCCCTCTGCCCACTAGCTCCCCTGCAGCTAGGCCAAGTGGTTAGTGTTGGAGTAGGACCTGGGAGACCAAGGTTCAAATCCCCACTGTCTCTCTCAACCTAGCCTACCTCCAAGTGTTTTTTTTATGGACTCAAATTCCCATCAGCCTCAGCTACCATATTCAATGGTCAGGGATGATGGGAGTTGTAGTGCAACAACAACAGGGGGGCTACCCCTGGCCTTACAGCTCAGCCTAATTTCATGTGGATGTCAAAGAGGGGGAAGTGTGTGTGGTTCAATGAGAGAGAAAGGGGTGGCAAACAGAGAGAGTCAGAGGGCAGGGAAGAGCCTTAAGTGTAAAGAGATATATTAGATATGCGTTCCTGCTTTGTAGAAGCCTGAAACCCTGCAGAACTGCTGCCAGCCAGTGTTGGCAGTACTGAGCTATATGGGATCAGCAGTCTGGCTCATTGTAAGGCAGCTTCCTATGTCCCTAACTCCCAGATGAAAAACGGGAGAGATGAGCTGCCTCTAGGCAGCATGGGCTCACCCAAATTAGAAATTGACCAGGCCAGCAAAATACCCGCCAGGCGCGAGTGGGGAGAGGAGGGGTGAGGAGGCAGAAAGCTTTGCTTCTCATCAGTGACCTTGCGTTCAGAAAGCATAGCCCAAAGCATCGCAATCTGCTTTGATTCTGTGCAGGAAGCAAACCACTGGAAAATGAAACCTACTGACATGAACGCATGTGCACACAAATACACACACCAATGAAGGTTTGGGGAAAACCCTATTAAGCGTTCTGTGTTTCATAGCAGATTTGTGGCTTATCAGCATGATCGACTGCAGCACTGCACTGGAACACAGAAATCTGCCTTACAGTGAGTCAGACTGTTAGGCTCACCAAGCTCAGTATCTTCAACGCTGCCTGGCAGAGGCTCTCCAGCAGGGGAGCCCACTGGAACAAAATATTTGCTGGGGGGGGGCAGGTAAGCCCCGCCCTGTATAAATGATCACAAGATGCAGCATACCCACACTATCTGAATGGCAATGTGGGGGAGGGCTGAAGAGATCTCAGCCCCTAGGAGTTGGCTCCTATGTTCTCCATGCTTTGAGACTGGGGATTCACCCAGACCTGTCTGCAGATGCTGCTGCAGACCGAACCTGGGACCTTCTGCATGCAGTGTAGGTGCTCTGCCACACGGACCATCAAGCTCAGTTTTGTCAACTCTGACAGGCAGTGGTCCTCCAGCGTTTGAGACTGGGTACTATCCTGTATTCCCCTGGAGATGCTGCCTGGAATTCAACATGGGGCCTTCTGCACGCGAAGCAGGTGCTCAGCCACTGAGCTGGGGTCCTTTCCAGGGACTTAGGAAGCAGCCTTATACCGAGTGAGAACACGGGTTCATCAAGTTCAGTATTGTAGGCACTGACTGCCAGCACCTCTCCAGGGTTTCAGGCAGGGAATCTTTTGCAGACGTAACTGGATATACCCTTATGGGTTGAATCTGGGACTTTCTACATGCAAAGCAGGTGCTCTACCACTGGGCTATTGATTTCCCCCTAAACATAAGGAAGATTCTAGTCCTCATGGTTCTGAATCAACAGCCAATTTCCACAGGAAGCTGCCTTGTACTGAGTCTTACCAAAGTGGCACCTCTGGTTACGTACTTAATTCGTTCCAGAGGTCCGTTCTTAACCTGAAACTGTTCTTAACCTGAAGCACCAATTTAGCTAATGGGGCCTCCTGCTGCCGCCGCGTGATTTCTGTTCTCATCCTGAGGTAAAGTTCTTAACCCGAGGTATTACTTCCGGGTTAGCCGAGTCTGTAACCTGAAGCGTATGTAACCTGAAGAGTATGTAACCCGAGGTACCACTGTACTGAGCCACAAGCTTTCCCTAATGAGTGGGTTGTATCTTGAACAGCTCTGTCCAGAGCTGGTCTCTGTCCCCTACACCTCCTTATCTCAGAGATTCCTGTGCAGCCCCTTTTCCCTCCCTCATTGCTCTGAGAAGCTGGATTCCGAGTAGAAATTGGAGCAGGAGCTGTTAATTCAGTCCCCGTTTTAACACCAACCTACCTAATTCACACTCCGAGGACATCTCCTGATCCACTTTCACCACACCTCGCATCATTTTATAGCCAGTGTGGTGTAGTGGTTAGAGTGTCAGACCACAGACATAAAAGAACCACACTCAGGATGAGGCCAATGGCCCGTCTGATCCAGCATCCTGTTCTCACAGGAGCCAACCAGATGTCAGGTGCAGAATTCAAGTACCAGAACGCTCTCCCCTCCTGAGGTTTCCAACAACTGGTACTCAGAAGCGTTGCTGCTGTGTTTGTTGGAATGAGGAGGAACACAAATACAACCCGTTTGCAACAAAGAACAGCAATCCCGAAATTTAAATTTTAAAAAAACCAATCTTTACTTTGGAAAGAGGGGGTGAGAGGAATAATAAAGCACCAAAACTACAATACCCAGCATTCCTGCGCCGATTGGCAGGAAGTGCCTTTAAGGTCTGAAACAGCTGCAGATAGAGGAGAGACGAGTGGGAGGCTGGCGGTGAGGCTGCTTTGCTCTCCGCTTCACTGGGATTCCCGTCTTGCTCGTCAGAGTGAAGCAGAAAGGCGGGCAGGATAGTGCGCCCGCGCGTGTGCTTTTGCAGAGCCCGTTTGCAAAAGGGGAGCAGGACTGCAGAGGGGAAAGAAGACGCCTCGGGCACGCGGGGAGGTGGAGGATGGCGCCGCTGGCCAGTGGGACTTTCTGCAAAGTTTGACCCGCGCCTGCAGTCACCCGATGTTGTTGCAGCAGCAGCAGCAGTCGAAGAGCGGGTCGGGCGTCTGGCTGTTTAGTTCTATCCCCAGCCGAGGAGAAGCGTCGGAAGCAACGGATCAACCACGCGCGTAGAAATACTAATAATAATAAGGAACCGGGCAAGCAGCGGGTTGTGGTGGGCGAAAGATGGAGCAGAGTCGCGCGGCCGCCGGTGCGGACTCTCCTGCTGCAGAAAGGAGAGGAGCCCGCGGTCCGGGATTCCCGCAAGCGCCAGCCTAGCGCGCTGCGCGGGGAGGAAAAAACAAGATACCCTTTGCACAAAAATATCAAGCAAACCAACAGACACACATGCACACATAGATACGCACATAAACCACCCAAACCGTGTCATGCACTGATAAGTCATTTGCACACACAAGTCTGTTTGCTTACATTGCTCTCTTGACTGCAAAAAGGCACCTTTCGTATACACATTTTATTTGTGCGGCGGAGGGAGGGTGCTTCTGCAGCTGCAGTTCTGGAGGGATTTGTGAATGGCATTTGGACGATTAATTTTTAAAGGTGAAACGGGGTAATATAATATCTCATATGCACACTTGGGCATTCAGCTAGCTTTGTGGTGGGCTCAATAGAGCTGAATTGGGGTGGGTGGGTTGAAATAAATAACGTAAAATAAACTCTATACCCTCATTGCAATAAATCTTCAGCGCTTTGCAGAGCGTTCCAACGTTCGCTGGGGGCGGGAATAGGAAGCTTCGGGATGACAGACCCGGGCGAGGAGCATCTGAAACATTCCCTGCCTTGAGAGTCTCCTTTTGCGCCACCTTGGCTGATCTACCCTTTCTGTGCCTGCCTGCACCCGCGCACACGACGCGACTGCGGGCGAGGGTCTCCCTTCTTTCCCTGGGCATGGCTTGCAAAACGACTCTCTTCGGGTGACCGGCGGTGGCCCGCAAGGAAAGAGAGGGAGGAAAAGGTGGAGGAGGAAGAGGAAGGCGCAAAGCTGCAGAGAAGATCTGAGGACACGGCTGCGGGCGAGGAGAGGGAGGAGACGAGAGCGGCGGCGGCGGCCACAGCAGCAGCAGCAGTGATCGTCGGCTGCAAGATTGCACAGAGAGGAGAGGAAGGGGGGGGTCGGTATTGGAGGAGGGGGGAAGGAGGAGGGGGGCAACCCATGCATGGCTGAGCTTTGCAGGTGGTTCCCCCTCCCTCCCTCCTCCTCCTCCTCCTCCTCTCTCACCCCTCTGTATCGCTCAGGTGGGTGTCATTGGAGATGTCACGGAAAGCGATTATGAGGTGCGGTTGGGTCACTAAAGGCGCGATTCATGCGCAACGGGGTTTGGACGGTACCGAGGGGCTGCCGGGTTGGGCTCCTCCATCCAGCTGCGGGGAGCGGCAGTAGCAGCAGCAGCAATCACAGGAGCAGCCTCCGCCGCTAGCGCCAGACCAGACCCTCTCAGCATCAGGAGACAAAACTTTACGCAAAAGTTTCCCCCCTCTTTTTGGTCTTTTTAAAATATACGTATATAGATATATATCTATTAAGAGACTCAAATTCATCTTCCTTCCCCTCTTGGTGGGGCGTTTCGAAAAGTAAGGCATCGCGGATGTTTTTAGAGGCTTAGAAAATAAATAAGTTTTTCTTCCCAGGAGAGCCAGGACTCAACCGATTGCGTTTTCGATACAATCCAAGCCACTTTTGAGCATTTATAATAATTCCTCCTCGATTTCAAAAAGGGAGACAATTGAAGCACGTGCTTCTGTTGAAATCTAGTAAAACTTTTTTAAAGTGTTTGGCTGCTGGCTAGGGCCCATATATATTATATTTAGAAGTGACTTAACAAGGTACTATAGTGTCTGTGATTGTGACAGAGAGGTTTCTGAATTAGCTGCCTTGGTGTTTCATTTTATTTCTTAATTATTTTTGCTTTACTGCCCAGCAGAGCATGCTGAAAGGAAGTGAAAGAAGGATGGTGTGTATATGTGTGTATCAACGTAAGGGATGAACTAGAAGGGAATAGTGCCTGGTGCTGAGCACCCATTAAGCCTGTTCCTTTCAGCTACCCTAAGGACTCTTAACTGGCTTGTTCTTGGCTGAGTTGTAGCTAAGATTTCTTGTTTAGAAATGAGGAACTTGTTTGCTGCAGTGAAAAAGAACACTGTGTTATCCAGAAGACGTACCATATTTTGCCATGCAATCCTAAGTCCTAACCATGTCTTCTCAGAAGTGAGCCCTATTGAATTCAGTGGGACTTACTCCCAGGTAAGTGGAGGATTGCAGCCTGGCTTTCAAGTTGCCATGGTTAGGACTGCATTGTTACAGCGTTGCTGCCATCCCCTTTCTTCCAGAGGTGCCTTTTCATCAGGTGCATGAAGTCATAAATGTGACAGAACGAGGTCCAGCCTTCAAACGGCTGCCACGATAAATTGGATACTTTAATTCATAGACTTCTTTTTTAGTTTGATGTTTTGTCTTAACTGGGAAGAGAAACTCATTGAGTGCACCCATTTCCCTTTTCTCCTCCTCCTTCATGGATTTTTCTTTTTAAATGCAAAACAGGTCAAAATTGATATGTTAGTAAAACTTGTGTTTTATTATTTTTTGAGCTATTTATTGTGGGTTTCTTTTCTTATAAAAATCAGCGAAACCTGTTTTTCTAGAAGCCAGCATGGGGGAGGAGGGATAGAAAAGTTTGTTATTTGTTAAAACTTACTGTTGGTCTTTTCCTTATTGTGGTGTTTTGTGTGTATGTGTGTGTTTAAAGTATTTTTTCCCTTTTTGTTTTTACTAAGGGGAAGTTGGGAATAACTGGATGTCAGGAAGTGAAGTGAAAACTCCACGTTGTCTATGAGAAGCTGAAGAGACAGACCAAAAGGGATGGATTTATGATTCATATAGACCATCAGCATTCTGCTTTAAAAGGATTTTTTTTTTAATCCAAAGAAATCTATAAAAAGGGAATAAAAGGCCAAGAGTGCAATACAAGAGTAAATAACCGACTGCATTCGAAGAAAGGAAGGCTGAAGGGAAATCAAACAAAACCAAGATATATTTATTTGCCGAACCTGCATCTCTTTTATATACAGTTTTCCTTGCTTATCCAAAATAGTATTTATCAGACTTTTGTCTGCCATTGCACAGAAGTTTACATACCCAAAAGGCCCCACTCACGAAGAAAGCGCTGCAAAACCTGTTACTCCAACAAATAGTGGGATTCAAATTTATATCTATATGTGTATATATAGCGAAACTTTTCCCACGATGACTCTTCTATCCTATGGATATCGGTTTTGAGATAACAGATGAGGATTGTTGGCGCCTTTTGGAAATTGTGCTGGTGTTGTGGGCCATGGGCTGTATTCAGAGCATTAGCTGCAAATCAAAAGGTTTTCGGGAGAGTATTACTGTCATTGAAGTTAAGGCCTCCATCGACCCCGTCCCTACCAACATTGATGAGTCGTCCAGTGTGGTTCTGAGATACCGGACCCCGCACTTCCGGGCTTCTGCTCAGGTGTTGGTGCCTCCTCTCCCCAGGAAAGAGACCTGGATCGTCGGCTGGATCCAGGCCTGTAGTCACATGGAGTTCTACAATCACTATGGGGAACACGGAATGTGAGTGGTACAGTTTTGGCTGCATGTATTAGATTTAACTTGTTATGGTGCCTGGGGATGGGGAGGGACTTGTACCCTTCAAGGATTTTTGCCAAGGGGTGCAACCTGCTGTACAATTGGATAAGGGACCATGGCTCAGTGGCAGACCACCTACTTTTCAGGCAGAAGGTCCCAGGTTCATTCCCCAGCATCTGCAAGTAGGACTGGGATAAGTCTCTACTTAAAACCCCAGAGAGCCTTGTAAACAGTGCTGAGCTATGGTGTGACTCAATATACACCTCCCTCCTGTGTTTTAGGATGGTGGTCATAGCTCAGTGTTAGAGTACCCGCTTTGCATGCAGGTGTCCCTGGTTTGATTCCTGGCATCTCCAGGGAGGGCTTGGGCTATCCCTTGCCTGACATTCTAGAGCATAGGTAGGCAAACTAAGGCCCAGGAGCCAGATCTGGACCAGTCGCCTTCTAAATGAGGCCCGTGGACAGTCCGGGAATTAGCATGTTTTTACGGGTGGCGCTGTGGGTTAAACCACAGAGCCTAGGACTTGCCGATCAGAAGGTCGGCGGTTCAAATCCCTGCGACGGGGTGAGCTCCCATTGCTCGGTTCCTGCTGCCAACCTAGCAGTTCGAAAGCATGTCAAGTGCAAGTAGATAAATAGGTACCGCTCCAGCGGGAAGGTAAACGGCTTAGTCATGCTGGCCACATGACCAGGAAGCTGTACACCGGCTCCCTCGGCCAATAAAGCGAGATGAGTGCCGCAACCCCAGAGTCGGCCACGACTGGACCTAATGGTCAGGGGTCCCTTTACCTTTACATGAGTAGAATGTGTGCTTTTATTTAGAATGCATCTCTGGGTTATTTGTGGGGCATCGGAATTCATTATTATTTTTCAAAATATAGTCCGGCCCCCCCACAAGGTCTGAGGGACAGTGGACCGGCCCCCTGCTGAAAAAGTTTGCTGACCCCTGGTGTAGACAATACTGAGCTAGAGGAACGAAGATTTTGACTTTGTATAAAGTAGCTTTCTACATTACCTATCCTCCTATCACTGGTGGCATCCAGTTTTGTAGGGCAGGTTTGTCCCTCATTATCACCCTCCCTCCAAATCCAGTGCTTCATTTCTCTTCATAAGGTCACTGGAACCTGCCTTGATACCAGGTCACAGAATGACTGCATGCCTGCTCTCCAGGGGACTGCATGCCCCTGACTCTCCAGGCTCCCAGGTCTTTCTCCTCACCTGCTCTGGGATTTGTTTAGCGGGAGATGCCAAGGATCAAATCTGGGACTGTCTGCTTGCAAAGCACTTGCCCTATCACCATTGATCTATGGCTCCTTCCAACACATTCCACCTTCCAGCTGTCCCGTCTCGTTCACTTATGTAAGAAAAAGCAATTTTGGGGGGAGGGTGTCAGTGAATGGGGTTAAAAGTGTCTTCCCCTTTCTGTTAAGGGTCAGTCCCAATCTGTACAGGTCCTGTTTTTTGGTCCTGCTGGGGTGTGATGGAATGTTGGGGGGGGGGGAGGAATTGAATTCTTTAAACCGGCTTCTTCTAATAGCAAACTCAGCTGGTGAGTACCGGTGGGACTGTAGCCAAAATTGGACATGCTGAGAAACTTGAGGGATAATATCAGCACGCTCAAGGAGGGGAACTAAAGTTTTGCAAATGCATAGCAAATATTTATGGTGAAATCCTAATGTCCTCCTCAAATAGCCCAAATAGAACTAAGAATTCTTAGTGGTGACACAGAAGAATATCTGCTCTGGGAAAGGAAGCGGGAATGGAATGGAGTACCCTAAGAAAGGGCATGGCTGGCTGGAAGCCTGAACAGGACCACTCCCCACTGCCACCTTTTGCTGCAGGCCACATTTGTAGGTGTATATTAGCCGAGTGGCTATAATTTAAATGGCCTGTGTTTTGATCCCTTCCTGTCATGGCCACTGCAACAACTTGGCAGTGAGTTTAAGGGAAAGTTGGCTTCCTGCATCACCAGTAGGGATGGGACAGAAATCAGATTCTGTTCACATTTGAAGGGGGAACTTACACTAATTAGCACTTCCTGAAACATTCTTTGAACTTTATACTTCTCCAGATTTTGCAATGAAGTGCTCCAACCAAGTAATGGGTACAAAACCCACATACAACAGGGTTAAAGTGTGCATAAAAACACCTTTATTAGTGAAAACAGCATTAAAAAATACATTAAGGGGAAAGTGGTTTGCAAAAACTGCCCCTTAGGCAAGATTGCATAGCAAAAATGTGAATGTTTGGAGAAACGTGCTCTGAAACGCTTATTAATTTTCATGATGGTCTTTTTAATCACAAGGGGATGTGGAAAACTTAATTTAAGAACTGGGAAAAGTGAGAGAAACCGAAATGGACGGATTCACTCATCCCTAATTGCCAGTTCACTGGCACGGCTGTCCAAGGAAACCTTTGGGTCTTTCAGCACAGGAAAAGGCGGCCTTCTGGTTGTAGCAAGTTTCCTTATCTGTTCTCACACAGGGGAGCAGCAGAGGAAGTCGCCAGGGGCCTCTTCCTACACTGACTCAGAGCCTGCTCTACTCCCTGAGAGGGTCTCTTTTTAACTTTCCACGTATGCATCCGTATTCCACCCCCTCTCCCACCCCCAAAGAAGTGGGGAGTCTCTGTAGCACAGGAATCTCATTATACCCAGGGCACAAGCAACTCTTACAAGGATATTCCGTGTTTGTTAAGGTTTAGGGAAGGCAACCCCATTCATTCTCACAGTAGTCCTGAGAACGGAGCTTAGATACCTCCTTGCCCAGATATCTAAATATGTGCCCAGATATCTAAATATGAAATTAAGGCTCTTCAGAAATTTAAACAGTTATATTTCTTAGAAATCTGACCTCCTTCCTCTGAGTCTTTAAAATCTGAAATAGTTGCTTCAGTCCAGTAAGGATCATGGTACAATTTGCAAGTAAAGCAGGTTGTTTGTTTGTTTTAAATAAAGTCACTATTGAATGCAAATGGGGGACACCTCCGGCTGTCTCTCGTTGGTCCTCGGGATTATTTCCCAGGCAACACTCTCTCCCTGGGTCCTGGGTGATTTGGGGTGCTCCTTGGGCACTTTTGGCCTGACTTGATTGGGCCCTTGAACTGCCATGCCTTTTGCTTCCCTGGATGGAGGTATTTGCAAATCTCTGGCTTCTGAGTGGCTGGAGAGTAGCTTATGGTATAGGGCCCTTAGAAGGAGAGTGTGGCCCTCAGACGGAAAAAGCTTCCCCCAGTCTAGCTACAAATGCATCATGCTCTTGAGGTGCTTTTTATATTGAAATTAAATTTATATTTATATTAAATTATTAATACGCTGCCTCATCTTTTGGAATAGCCCCTCTCCTGCAGGGCAGCCTGACAACATAAAAAAAAAAAGTTAAAGCTGTATAAAGTATCAAACAACACACTATTATCAATAATAATAGCAGCAACAGCAGAACATTTCGCATCCCAGTAGAAATGTTGGCCTTTGCCTCTTACACACCCTCACTAAAAGCAGTCATGCATAAAATATTTTTAGAGCCCCCTGAAATGATAACCCCCACCTATCTCTTAGGTGAGGACATTCTACAACCATGGGTCTGCCACAAATTATAATTTTCTCAAACATCAAATACAGCAGAATCTCATTTACCCTCCTATTTTTATTTTTTACCTCCAGCCAAGGGTTGGGAAACCAAATGTAACCTGTTGGCCCTCACTGTCCTTACTTCACACCCTCCTTGGGTGTTTTTTTGGCCTTGCTGGGATGTGTCCTTGAAAATTATTATGACTCTTGGTTGCTTGAATGGAGGACAGAAGGGTGGGTGAGTTTGTGTCAGCCTACTGTGCAGTTGCCAAATTCAAATCCACTTCGCTGCTCCCATTTTTGTTCTGGCCCCGCCCACCACTTCCATGTGACTGTAGTTAGAACAGAGGCACCTGTGCCTTTACCTTCCCTAGTCTGGAGAAAGGGGGCGTGGCAAGCAAAGGGGGCGTGGCTTGAGGAGAGTCCTGAAAGCTGAGTGGGCCATGTCCCCATCATGCATTTACAGTACTCTTACCCCTTTTAGCAGTCATGTGCTGGGAATTCTATCTCTCTGAGGGAAGCTCCTAACAACCCACAGCAAACTATTGTTGGCACCCATCTGTCTCAGGAGACGATGGAGGACTGTGAAGTGAAACCATGAAAGTTAAGGAGCCATGAAAGTTAAGGTGGCAACCAAAATGATGCAGGCAGTGGAGCAGCTCCCCTGTGGAGAAAGGTCACAACATTTGGGGCTTTTTAGTTTAGAGAAAAGGCAGGTTAAGAGATGGCATGATAGAGATGTATAAATAGTGGATAGAGTAAAGTTCTTCTCCCTATTCTCATTACACTAAAACTCAGGGACATCAGGGAGGCTGAATGTTGGAAGATTCAGACAGAAAAGTAATTGTGCATTGTGTAAAGAAGTACATTTATGAAATCTGCCTCCTCAGGAGGCAGTGTGGGCTGGATCCACCAGGCTCTTTTTAATGTTCTTACATGGAATAAAAGTGACTATGGAGAGGTTTGGAGGGCTACACATGACCCCTCTGGGCCTGAGGCTTGCCACCACTAAGCCGGGAGGAGAAAGGCGGCTTTAAAAAGTAGGTTCGGATCATAAGGACTTGAGAGGCATGTGGTTTCCCCCCTCCGCCACTCCCCCAACTCTGCTTCTCCCTTAAAACAGGAAGCCAATGGGGAGGGCTGCCTGAAATAGCCCTGAGGAAGTTTGAGGGGAGAGCAGCCACAATGAAAAAGAGGCCCTAAGCCAGTGTGCTGTCTGTCAAAATTGCATCCTAACATTGCCTCTCCATGCACAGGAGCCAACTGGATGGGGAGTTGAAGGGCTACAACTTTGGCTGCAACTCAGGAGAGCAAGCTAGCTTATGGGGTGTGCAGGGAAGTAAATATACATTAGCTCTGTCCTCCCCACAGAGAATAGTTGGGGTTTCCAGAGGAGGTCTCCCTCTTTCCCACTGCC